CGACTCTTGAGGACCAGGATCTGTGAGCTGTACTGCACCACTGGTTCCGGGACTCTAAGCAGGGGCCAGAGAGTAGAAACAGCTGAATAATACTGGAAATGGAACTAAGGCCGCTCGGGGACTGGCTCAGGCCTGTGGCGGCAGGTGACTGGGGACCCTTCACTCAGTAGCCTTTCCTATTCCTTGATTTGCTTCTTTAGAAAATCAGCAGGCGTTTCCTTAGCACCTACTATGTGCCAGATACGGTGCCTACTGTGTGCTGGTTGGCGGAATGCGCTGGTCGTAATGCCTGAAGAGGTGTGAGGGATGGCAGCCATCCTTTGTCCCGTGGTGACGGTGGCTTAGCTGGGGCTGGCGGTTATCTACGGGATCACTCTTGTATCGTAGTGGTTTTTGGACCTGGAACGCTCTGGAAAATACAGCTGTCTAGCTGAGCCCCATCTTTTGGAAAAACAGACTCAGAAATTCTAAATGAGCCCCGATGTGGCAATTTCTAGAAGCCCAGGGAACGGTGACGATGGCTTGGGTGCCTAACTCGTGTCTCCGAGGAGAGTTTCTCCTCCTCCCTCTCGGTCCCACTTTAGAACGCATGAAGCTCTGGTCATGGCCAGGGTGACTTGCTCTGCCTGCTCCTTCTCCCTCATGGCTCAGCAAATGATTCTTCCAGAATACACAGAAGTCATTTTTGCGGCAACACCTTCCGTTGCACGATGCTCATTCATTTAACGGGCCCTCGGTGGTCTGGGAGAGAGCCCTGCTCAGAGCCGCCTTCTGAAATTGGATTTGAGGCCGCGGGGCTGGGGGTGGGGTGAGGGCRTCGGTGTTTGATCACTTCCTCCCCCGTCCTCCTCGGGGTCCTCCTCTCCCTGGGTCGCCCCCCGTGCACTGGCAGATTGCAGACTGTCAACTTGGGGGRAGTCGGTCAACCTGCAGACGGGGTAAATAAACACGCTGCTTCCGCGAGGATGGATGCCATCATCATCTGGATTCACAGCCCTCGTCGCCGGCACCTTGAACTGCTTTTGGGGAAAAGGCTTCCGTGTAGCATCCATCAACTTTCCGCCCTGCCTGTCCCCATCCTCCCCATCCCCTGCGCACCCCCCTGAGTCATTCAGATACCCACACAACACGGATGGGGGACATGATTCTTCTCTCCGGAAGGGAATGCGTCTTGACAGATGTTTTCTTTGGGGACAGTTATTTATAGCAGCAAGAGCTCTCCTACAGTAGGGCACTGTGGCTTCCTTCCTCCTCCTTCTCATTTCTCTAAAATGGAACATATTTTTGTTTTCCTGGTGGGAAAAACTGCCAGATCAATGATTTACCTCTCTCTCTCTCTCTCTCTCTCTCTCTCTCTCTCTCTCTCCATATTCTCTTCTGTCTCTTTCACCTTCTGAACAGTCTCTGGATTCTCCCAGAATACAATCCAGGTATCGCCACCAACTTTTGTGTCTCAAAGCCGATGGCTCAACTTCCTGAGCCTCTGGCCGCCCAGGGGGCTGGGCTTGGTCCCCCCGCCCCCCCCAACCTTGGGGTCAATTTCTAAGGGAGACGTGAAGGAGGGCTTTTGTGTCTGTCCCCTACTTTCCAGCCCTCCCCTGCCTGCGGGATGAGCTCTTGGGAGCAGGGGCTATAATCAGAGGGACATCTCCCCCCCTTGGCCCACTCCCTGCCCTGTGATCTCCATCTCAGTCAAAGATACGCCCCCCCCCAAAAACTGCCTGGCTCAGGACCTCGGGGTCCTCTTGGCTCTTTTGTCTTCCTGCTCCCCCTCCCCACATCTCTTCCTCCCTCCCTGTCGGTAGTGAAGGGACCGGGCAGCGCAGCCTGAGCCTGCAGATTCTGTTGCTAAGGAAACCACTTCCTTGGTTACCAGCCTGGGTACCATTTGTCTCACTGCGTCTGCATCCCGCCGAGTCGCCCCCGCTCCCCAGGATGAGAGGACGGCAGGGGTGGGGGAGAGCCCAGGATCCAGAGGCAGGGTGTAGAGACAGAGATGGAGAGGAGACCACGGGACGAGATGGCGATGGGGTGACGGGAGGGCGGGGGAGGAAAGAGCCAGAGAGAGATCGGGAGGAGAAGGAGGAGGAGAGCAAAGAAGAGGGGGGGGGGAACCAGAGGAGGGGAGGGGGAGCGGAGCCAGGCCCCCAGAAGGAGGAGGGGTCTGCATAGGACCTGTCCCCAGCATCTCTATCCTCTCTCCCCTCCCACATGTCCCCTGGAGACATTCACAGTGACCTCCAGGGCTCCTAGAGAATCTGGAGTAGATGGCAGCTCTCAGCCGCTGCGGGGCCTGGCGTCCCTGCACCGAGGACCACTGGGATCTGCAGCTTTTCTTCCTCCATGGACACAGGGGGACTGTCACTTTCTGCAAACGGGATGGGCTTTGGGGCCCTTGAAGGAGAGGCCAGCAGCTGAGCTCTGTGCTCAGGCCAGTGAYTGCACGAGCCTCCCTGTCCCCAGAAAAGGGAGTTGATCTCAGCTCTGAGCAGCTCAGTGTCCGTGAAGGCAGCCCACGTCCTCCCCTTCTCTGTCCAGGAGCATCTTCCTGAAGCTGTCTGGCCCCGTACACGTATCAGCTCGGGACCTGGTTAAGTGGGAGCTCTGCAGGGATGGGGGGTCTGCCTGTGTGGTCCCTAGAATCAGGACCAAGGTCCTTCCCAGGCTGGCCATAAAGATCTATGCCAGGGGGCTGCCGAGGGGGTGGCAAAGGCAGACCCTGGACAGAGCAGGGCGCCAGCCTGTCCATCTACCCCGCCCCTGGCCCCCAGCTCCTCCCACCTTCCCGTCATTCACCATGAAGGAGGGGGGAGTGGGATGTGGCACAGAATCTGTGAGTTGGGGGGGGGGAGAATCCAGGACAGCTGGATGCTCTGTGGCGTCCCTGGTTTCTGGCTGGGAGGAACGGGCTGCGTAGAGGGTGGGAGGGGAATTGGCCGCACACGGGTTCTGGGGTCAAGCCTGGGACCAGAGCCAACGCTTGGTCTGAGATCAGGCCAGAGCTCAGAGTGATCAAGGTCAGGACTCCTCCAGGGCCAGGACCAGGGCTCAGGTTGTGGCCGGAATTGGAGCTCAGGTGACAGAGATCAGGGCTCAGTCAGGAGACACTGTCAGCCCTGGTTCTGGGCAGACTGACCCAGGTGGGAGTGAAGTCAATGAGCAGGGTCAGGGTTTGGTATGGTCAGGGTCAGACTTGGGACTCCGAGTGGAGTGTGGACAAGGGATCAGTAGGAGACCTAGATCATGGATCAGCACGTGCCTAGGATCAGGGCTCAGTCTGTGAGCAGGGTTTAGCTATGAGCCAGGTTCAGGGGTGTTGGATTGGGTTCTGTCTGTGACCAGCTCAGACTTGGCTCAACAATGGGGTCCCAGGGTAGCCTGGGGYGCAGATCAGAGCACAGAATGGTGTCCAGGAGCCAGGACCAAGCCCCGAGGAGAGGGACACTGTCCTCAGCTCTAAGCAACCTCATGCCCCGTCCCCAGAGCTCTGTCTTCCCCGCCCTATCTCAGTGACCTCAGGATTAGACACCAACCCTTGCCCCAGATATTCTGTCACTGTGTCTACCTGTCTGTCTCTGCCACACACACACACACACACACACACACACACACACACACACAGAGGAAACATCCCGTCTATGAACACAACACTCTGCCACGTGGTAGAATTATCAACAAAACTCTCATTTAATGATAGTGTTGACCTGAGGAATCTTCAGACAGAGGCGGGTGGTCCAAGGTGACCACCGGCAAAGAGCTGGTCCAGGTCTTGGACCGAATCTCCCAGAGACAGCTGCCCTCCCAGTGGGAGTGGAGGCCAAGTCCGCTGCTGCTTTGTGAAAGAACACTAGAAATTCACCGGGGGAAAGACACTCGGTACACAATACATTCAGAGCCCCCTGGCCCGGCCTGGGGTGGTCCAGATCCTACAGTCGTGGGAACCAGAGAAGGGAATCAGGTGCGACTCCTGTGCCCTCTCTCTGCGAGGCCRAGGTCCAGGGGGCGGAATGTATTCGTCATAGACCTCTTAAAAAAATAAATCTCTTTTCACTTGCCTTCCCCAGGCCCCTTTGCTGTTTGGAACGAGCTTCGTCTTCAGAGGGGCGGCTCAGGGGGGCCGCCCTGCACAGGATGGCGAAGAGGCAGTGACCTATGGCTTTTGCATGGACTTCGTGGGAGGGTCCTGTGGACAGGATGTAAAAGCCGAAGGATCCGACCTGCGGGCGGGAGGGGATCTCGGGTCAATGAATGATCAGTGACTCAGGTCCTCAGAAATCCTTTGGTTTGGTGTCTCGGCGTCAAGAAAGCAGCGGAGCGTGGAGCTGATGGGCCATTCTGACCCCTTCCTCAGGGACCCCGGGGAGGCGGGTCCTACTGGGCTGTGGTCAAGGGGAGGCCGGGGCCTGGGGAGGAGGGGCATCTCTTCCAGGCGCGGTTCCTTCTGATCTGGAGCCCCCTGGCGCTCTCACCTGGATAGCGCGGGACCCACTGGTAGGGGTCACCAGGGCAGTGTAAGATCGAGGTGTGAGACAGGGTCTTCTGTCGGGTGCCCGGGGAGCCCTGGGAATGGGATCCAGGACTCCGAGTTCACCTCCTAGACAGGGGGCTGGGCAGGGAGGGAGGAGAGGGGGTGCGACTCCAGCCTGGTGGGGGACGGGCCACAGTGTGACCTGCCTGGGGTGCCCACTCTGCCGTGAGCACGGCGCTCTCCTCCACCCACCCAGACCCCAGACGTCTAAGGCCTCCGGGACGCGGCCAGCTGTCTTTCTCCCAAACAGGAGGTGACCTGAGCCATGTCACAGCAAGCGCTTCCTGGAGAAAGCGAGGCTCTGCCCCGTGAGCCATCCGGGCAAGGTCCCAAACASCGGGCCCTCGGGGGAGGACACTCAGCTCATCTCCACGACCACGGTGAACCCTGCAGCCCACCAGTGCAACCCGGAGTGGTGGACGCAGGGACACGGGGGACCCAAGACGCTGGTGCCCGTGACCAGAACTCCCCAAGCCAGGTAGCCCGCATCTCCAAGAGGGAAGGGGCGGGTGCGGAGGGCGCGGGGACCTGGACAGTCGGTTCCCTCGAGCCTCCTCTGTCATGCAGGAGGCTCGCCCAGGGCAAGCAGCGGCCGCCACCGGGGCGGTCCCCAACCGGAGAGGCCAGGTGAGTGGGCGTGGCCAGGCCGCCGCCCTCCCGCGCCGCATCATCTCGGGTAGTAGTCGTCGGGGACGCCCGTGAGGTTGCGGCCCTTGAGCGCCGCGTCCACCATCTTGATGTAGGCCGAGATGCTGCGCTGCATGTCCGCCGTGTAGGGGTCGAACTCGAGCTTGCGCAGCCCCGAGCGCTTGAAGTTGCCGTCCTTCTGGCTCTCCACGCACAGCAGCCGGTCCTCCCGCACCGCCACGCCCAGCAGGCGCACCATGCGGCCCAGCTGCACGAACAGGTCCTGCTTCAGGTCCTCGAAGTGCACCACCAGCACCTTCTTGCCGAACTTGAGCCAGTCCAGCGTGTGGGTGGCCCACCAGGGGGCGTAGTTGCGCACGAACTCCGGCCACTCTGCGGAGAGGAGGAGCCAGCGGTCAGGCAGGACCCCGGGGCGGAGCGGCCTTTGACCGCGCTAGCCCCGCCCTCAGCCTCAGCCTCCGCCTGGCACCGCCTCTGGCCCTCCTCGCCGAGGAGGGTGGCACCACTTGGTGTCACCACCGGCCAGGCACAGCCCYAGGTATAAACCTGGGTAACTACGGCATAGAAAGATAACGTAAGAGACACAGGACACAGAAATACACAATCATAGATGACAGAAAATGCGCATCACCCTACATATATGAATATAGAAAATATGATAGGAAATATGTAAATTGTGTACACTAKATAATTATACAAGATTAATATATAATATATGTGATATATGCATATTTTATACATATACATGCATATTTATATACCATTAAATTTTATAGAAGTATACTACATACATAAATACATGTAATATATGTGATATATGTAATAAGTAAATAACCATGTATCACATATAAATATATTTATAATATAGAATCAAATGCATTCATAAATTATATAGAACTTATATTAACATGTCAATTATGTATCACGGTGTATACCTATAATCATATATACATATATTTTGGGGGAGATACAGGGGATTGAACCCAGGGGCACTCAGCCGCTGAGCCACATCCCCAACTCTATTTTGCATTTTATTTTGAGACAGGGTCTCACTGAGTTGCTTAGTACCTCTCTAAGTTGCTGAGGCTAGCTTTGAACTGGCGATCCTCCTGCCTCAGCCTCTGGAGTAGCTGGGACTACAGGCATGACCACCATGCCCAGCTATAATTGTATTTTCATAGCTATGCTAATATAGCTATTAATTCCATGAATCCTCCCAACCTTGTGGGGTTGGACATCATCATTTTCACTCAACAGGAGAGGAAACTGAGGCACAGAGAAGTTAAGTAGTTTGCTCAGGGTCACTCAGCTAATAACCAGCAGAGCCAGATCTGAGGTCAGGCAATCTGGCTTCAAGTTCTGGGTTTTTAACGGCGGCTAACGTGTCCCATGTGGCCCGAGCCCCTACTCGGAGGGTAATAATGGGGCTGTTGTACAGAGGAAGCAGGAATCGCATGCAGTTGTGGGCATGGAGGCTCGAACCAGCTGTGATTGCTACCCTGTTCTCTTCTCAGGTGAGAGGAGGATGCTGGGAACAGAGAAAAGGAACTCCCGCCTCAACTCTGAGCCCAGAGGGAAAACCACAGGGCAGGTGCTCTGAAGTTCCAAACRGGCACTACTGTTTCCTGTGGGCTCAGCGCCACCCAGCACCTCCCTGGGGGGAATGTGTGTGTGGGCAGTTATTATTAGTTTTCAACTAAATCTGAATCTCCTGCTGGGTGATGGCTACCCATTGTCTCATTTAACCCTAACAACTACCCTGAAATCAGGACTCCTGTTCACTCAGCACCAGAGAGGAGACTGAGGCTCAGAGAGGTGAGGCRACTTGCTCAAGGTCACACAGCCAAGAAGCATCATCCTGATCAAGCCTGCCTGATTCCAGCCCCTTCTCTTTCCCAGGCACCCGCAGCCTCACCCTAGATACCTCCCCGGGCCTGGGACTCAGCAGGGACTCCATGAATGGCTGTTGAACTAAATTGAAATCCGCAAACCACCCTCAAAACGTGATAAAGGGCTCCTTTTCCTTTGCAGAATACATCGGAGTTTGTGGAAGACTCCTGCGCCCCCGTCCCCTCCTGGGGTCCCACGGCTGCTTGAGAAATATTTATGGTGGTGACGGGATAGTTTTTATTCTTAAAATAAATTATTGACAATGTCTCTGGCTAATTGGGCCCGTACTGTTACAATGGGTTAAGGCCAGATGTAGCTGGTGATTAAGGAGGATCCAGCGGTGGCAGGGTCTGCTTTGCTTCTCCAGAATCTCCCCACTCCTGAGTCACCTCCAAGCACCCCTGGTGATTCAGGACAGCTGCTGTGGTCACCGGTCACCGGAGGTGACTGCGAGGTGACTGCTATGCCACCCAGCACCCCCCACACCCACACTTCTAGACCCTGTCACTTCTGACCACCCTGAGAGATGCCAAAGGGTGGGTGGGGGGTTGAGGGTGGCCCTGGAGAAAAAGGAGGGGCTGGTGTGCACGGTGGCGGGTCCCTCAGGCTCCCCCGGGTGCCCAGGCCTTGGATGCAGGCGGGACAGAGAGGACACACTGTTTTTGCTGATTGGAAACTTCTGGGGGAGACCAGGCTCCTCTGTCCCCGGTGTAAGCTGGGAATGGACGCTGCGGGAGCCTCTGGGGGGCGTCAGGGGCTGCGCGGGGCACCTTGCCCAATCTCACCCTGTCTCTCTAGCGGCCTGCGGAGTAGGAATGGCTAGCCCCACCTGAGACCCAGGCAAAGGATGCTCAGAGACATGAGGCGATTGGCATCCAAGACAGGATTCAAACCCACGTCAGCCCCAGGCTGCACCTGGCTCCAGCTTCCAYACCAACCCTGGAAGAGGCCCTGGTGTGACGGGCTGTGGCCCTTCTTTTTTTTGATGGGTCCTGGGCAGCTGTCTTCTCCTCCACCCTCTGGGCCCTTCAGCTTCAGCCTGTCACCTAGGACACGGGGTCTATTCACCCATGACTTTGTGATCGGGTGGCCGGGGGCTCCACACGCAGTTCCTCTCCRCCTGAGTGGGGTGACCTTGAGGATATTATTAGCTCTCCTTGAGGCTCAGTTTACCCATCTGCAAATCAGCAGTCCAGATGAGGCCGCCTCTTACAGACATGGTGCAGATTGGGCGGAGGAAGGTCTGCAAAGTTCCCGGCACAACATCTGGGGCTCAGGAGGTGCTCCGTAAGTGCTGGTCGTCTGAGCTGATGCTGGTCCCCCCCAGCATCTCTTGAGACCGCCCCCCCAATGCCCCGCCACTGGGTCTGAGCCTCCCTCCCAGAGCTCAGCAGATAGCCTCGATGTTTCTGCCACACATCTGTYCTCTGCACCCCGTCCTGTGGCCAAGCTCCCAAGTGACTTCACTGGGAAAAAGAAGAAAATTAAAACCCAAGTCCTCAACTAACTCAGGGTTCCTGGTCATCGACCACCGCCTGCAAATCCGGTAACAAAGGCACACGGAGCCACCCGGCCCCATCCCCAGTGCGGGTTCCACCAGGACCCACCCCAGGTGCGCCTGGCCATCTTCCTGTCCACAGAGGAACCAGCCCTGACGGATGGCTGCCTCTACCTAGTTCCCCCCGGAATCATTAAGCACAGTCTCTGTTTCATTAAGCAGATCCAGGACAATTCACCTTGTGTAATCAGATCACATAAAATTTTACTTTGGACTCGCTCCAGGGAGGTTGTAAAATTAATGTTGTGGAACCAAAGGGGGGCGTAGGAGCCTCAATCCAGCCATAATTGGGAGGGGGGCAAAGGTAAGGGGGAATGGGYCTACACAACAGCTGGGTGGCCTCTGCTTTTAAGGGGGACCCTCCCCTCTCACACCGAGCGCATCCTAAAGCAGCAAGTCTCAAACTTCCAASTGGGCTCAAAGCACTTGGGAATYTTGTTAAARTGCAGATTCGGTTCCCTAAGACGAGGCTGGGGCCTGCCTGAGACTAGTCAGTAACTCTCCTGGGTGGTGTAGGTGCTGCGGGTCCGCGGCCGCACTTTGACACTTTGAGTAGGAGAGGTGCCTAAGCCTGAGTTCTCCTGGGTAACTCCMAGAGGGCGGGGCCAACTGAAGAGGGCGGGGCCAACTGCAGAGGGGGGCCCACAGCGGCAGGGGCGGGGCCAACTCCAGGGGCGGGGCCCACAACTGCAGAGGGCGGGGCCCACTCCCAGAGTTTCAGATCCAGGAGCGATTGGGCGGAGCCTGAAAATTTGCATATCTAATGAGCTCCCTGGCCAAGCTGTTGCTGCTGCGCAGACTCAAGAGCAAGGGTCTCAAACTCTGGATCCCAGGGCAGAAGAGGAATCCGCAGGGTGGGGCCTGGGAGCACTGCGCTTTGGGGGGCTCTTTGCTTGAAGACAGGGGTCAGGCCTGGGAGGGGATGTTGGGGCCTCTTCCCGGACTGATGTGGGACCCTAGGCTGATGGGAGATGAGTGTGGAGGACCCCGTCCACCCACAGCCTCTAGGTTCAGCCTGTCGCSATTCCTTCCTTCGCAGTGATTTAAAGGTCCCGGCTGTTTTCAATGAGGAAAGAAGGCGGGCGGGCGGGTGCTCCTGGGAATCAGGGGACTTGTCTGAAGCTAAGGTGGGTGGSCGGGTAACCGGGAGAGGAGGACCTCTGGAGGCACCAGGAGGCCAGCAACGTCCCTGGGGGAGCGGAGCCTGGTGGGCAGKGCCTGGTTTGAATTCGGCTCAGTCTGGGGCTTTAGCCAGGTGACGTGGCCCACCTGGGTGATGACAGMGGCCCTTGTCCCTTCCCGGGCTCCTGGAGGGTTTAGATGAGACAGCAAATGCTCAGGGCTCTGGGGCTTCTCTGGTTAGGGCCCCCCCCCCCCACCCGTGGCCTGGGAGTGAGGGCGGTCTGAGCACAGAGCTGCCCTCTGGGGCCAGTCCTGACACTGTGTCCCAGGGACYGGCCTCGGTCTCCCTGTTAATAACAGAGAACCCAGGTTGTCAGCACCCTGCTCTTGGGAAGGAACTGAGAAACCTTCAAGCAGGCTGATGTCTCCGCTGCACCCCGGTGACGCTCAGGGCTGCAGCCTGGGCACTGGGATCCCCCCAGGTTCCTCTGGGGGTTCCGACGGGCAGCCCAGGCTGCCCACCAGGGCTTCCGTGATCTCCCCCGTCTGCCCCGGCTCTGGCAAGCAGGGGCTGTCCCCTGGGGCCCGCTACTGCCACGAGCACCCACAGACATCTCAGTCGCCCTGGGACCAGGGTTCACTCCCAACGGTTAAATAATTCAGAGGCCTCTTTTCTCCTGGGGACGAGGGAACACGCGTCACCCCTGTCCAGCTTCCAGCCCTCACYGACAGGGGGAGTGGGGCTGGGAGAGGGACACTGGGGGGGGGGGAGCTGGGAACTCAGGGCACAGCTGGTCAGGCAGGCCAAGGCTTTGCATGGAGACCACGTGGAGGAGGGAGCTGCCGACCCCCGTGCTCTGCTCTGTGGGGAGGGGCTGGGCTGGCGCTGCCTGGTTCCTGGAGGCTGGACCAGGGTCCAGCTCCCATCSGCTCACAGTCACAGAGAACCTGTGGGTGTCAGCGCCTCTGGGCCAGGTGGCTCAAGGCCACCAACAGCTCACTGACCGGTGCTCCCAGTCAAGCCATTCTAGATTGGAAATGTTGCAGGTAACACACTTGGTCCCCTGCCCCACCAGACCTKCCAGCTCAGCCCGCAGCCGGGCAAAGCCATCTACATGAAGCCTGCCTTAGAACGCAGTGTGGACCGTCTCGCATAATTATTTACTGAGTACTCTAAGGAAACAGGAAAACAGACTCTAGTCCTCGGACCTCGGGCCATCKTAAGTTGAGGACCATCTRCAGTCCATGATMGCAGTGCAGGGCCCGCAGGCCTGAGCCCAGAGGGGCCCCAGAACCTGATCATCTGGTCTCACTGCGACTCTGAACTCACCGACCGGGGACCCCCCATTCCCTCTCCCTCTGGGAAGCTCCTTGCCCTCTCTGAACTTGGGTTACCTCAGCTATAAAATGGGGGATCATTGTGGGAGGGGTTGAAGGAGGTCAACTGTCATTAAGGCTCAGTAGCAGTGACTGGTGACAGGGATCACCACACTGTCAGTATGGGGTTTTAAGACCTGGAGGTGTTGGGGACACTCAAGACGGCAGCAGTTGGGTCTAACTTCCAATCTCAGGCCACAGTCTGGGCTGGGCAGCTCTCTGTGCTGAGATGTTCAGCCACACAGCCACACAGCCCTGTCATCTACTAGTAGATCATCTTGGGGGTCAGCACTTGCTTCCCAGCTGTGTGATCTGAGGAGAGTCACTTAACCTCTCTGAGCCTCCCAACACTGGACTGTTGGGAGAATTCATGAAATGATGCTCTGAGAACCTGGGCTCTTAAGAGCTCATGGCCTGAGCCCCACCCCAGCCCTATTTTGTATTTTACTTAGAGACGGGTCTCCCTGAGTTGGTTGCTTAGCACCTCAATTTTGCTGAGGCTGGCTTTGAACTCGCCATCCTCCTGCCTCAGCCTCCAAGGCACTGGGATGACAGGTGTGAGCCAGGGCACCAGGCCCAGTACCAGATTTAATGGTCCCTTTGCAGAGGTGCAGCTTGAGTTCGGGGTAGTCAAGGATCTCTCCAGGAACGGATAGCTCTGGGACTTCCGCCCAGGAGGCCGGCTGCAGAGGCCGGCCCTGTCCCACTGTGCCCGGCTGGTGGAGGCCGATGCTGGGGGTGTGGTGGTCAGTGGATGGCAGAGCAGCTCGGCTCTGTGCGCTCAGCGACAGCAACAGGACCCTGGGCTCTTAGGAACGTCCTTCTGGGGTCCGTGCACAGGTCCGCCACCCCCTCCCCCCCCCCTCCACAGACCCCGGCCCCTCCGGCCCCGCTGCGCGCCCGGCCTCACCTTTGCCCTTCCAGTGCGCGTGGGCGGCAAAGCCGATGTGGCCCCCGTACTTGCGGTTGAACTCGGCCATGAGCGCCTTGTAGGGGTTGCGGATGAGCAGGATGGCGGCGTCGAAGGCCTCGATCTCCTTCTGGCCGCTCTCGTGCGTCTTGATGCAGATGGTCCTCCCGCTGCGCCAGTGGTCGCGCTCGCCCTTGAACCCTAGGCCGAGGCCAGAGGTTGGGGCCGGGGAGCGGGGGGCGGAGCCCCCCACCCGCCTCTGCGCTCGCCGCRCATCCTCGCCCTCCATCCCTTCGCGCAGCCATCCGCTCCTGCAATTCTGGAGCACCTACTGTGTGCCAGCCTCTGCCATAGCAGCCGCTATTGGCAGGGTCTTCGCTGCCTGCACCCAACTGCCAACCATGAGCTCCCGGGAAGCCCCCAGTGAACGGGCAGGGCATTCAACAGCTCAGCTGACTGTGACCCGCCACCATCGGCCTTTCTCAGGGGGACTGAGACGTCTGATAAAAAGGCCTGTKGTCCGAACGGCTCGGGAGGCTGAGGCAGGAGGATCGCCAGTTCAAAGCCAGCCTCAGCAACAGCGAGGCCCTAAGCCACTCAGGGAGACCCTGTCTCTAAATAAAGTACAAAATCGGGCTGGGGATGGGGCTCAGGGGTCCAGTGGCCCTGAGTTCAATCCCTGGTACCAAACAAACAAAAAGACCCAGCTCCAGGTGGGCGCGTTGACAGGGAGGGTCTATATTTCCTTTCTGTCTTTTTTATTTTTTAAAAGTCACGATTTTAGTAGACACCTCGCCCCATGAGTCGCTCTTCCTGCGATTCTAGAATACTAAAGTAGGGAGGCTGGGGTCAGTCTAGGGCTGGGGAGAGACCCAAACACACCGAGCCCTGGACGCTCCCAAGATCCTGAGGAGTGGACTGGGGTCAGCCTGACCTTGGACCTGAAAGGCCCCTGGTGGTTCCCAGGTCGTCAGAGACCACCTGCCCTTGGCCAAGGTAGCTGACGGTCCAGGTCACTGGTCACTTCGAAGACAATGTAGGTTCCATACCAAGCCTCACCCCTCTTATCTCACAGGCCTGTGGGTTCACTGTTGGAAAATCTGGGTCCAGTACTGACSGCCCCATCTTCCAGGTGAGGAAGTTAAGACTCTGAGAGGTCGAGACTCTTGCCCCAAATCTCACTGCTGAGAAGCCTCGGGTGGGACTTTCAGTAAAGTTGGAGGCTCTGCCTCTGCCTAGGGATTGGTGTCCCTGTCCCTGAGGTTAGGAGGCTGTGGGATCAYGAGCCCTGGCCACAGAGACCACGGTGCACCCCGAAAGTCGAGCTTTCCAYGGGCAGATCCACGAGGCGGTCACTGTGTTTCTGAGGGAGGACAGAATCCTCCTYGTCACATCACCCTGGAGCAGGGGCCGCTGGAAAGGGCGCAGGACATCAAGCCACTGTGGGTCCTTGGCCTCAAGGATCCTGAGGGAGGGTCAGGTTGTGGCTGAGCCGAGGGTTCCTCTGAGCCTTTCCCCTCTGGCCACTGCTCCAGAATTTGCCTGGGCTCCTCCCAGAAACCCCCCTAAAGACAGGGCAGCCTGGGTGGAGGAGCACAGGGCCCGAGTTCAAATCCTGATGTGAACCTTCATCACGGAGCCTGGCACATAACAGGCACTTAGCCAATGACAGCTCAAGTCCACCAGAGGCAATGACTACGACTGAGCTGGGTTCCAGGGCAGGCCACGGCCTTCTGCCCTGCGACTCCAACCTCCCAGTCTCTGCCTCCCCTCTGCTTCTCTCCCTGGAAAAGACATGCATCTTGAGTTCTCCCCAGCTAGGGCTCAGGGATGTTTCCTCATCAGCACCCAGACCATAATACTCATAGTCTGTTTACTATTGCTGCGCATGTTGCAAGTACCAACTTATTGCCTTTGACAACCTCACGAGGTAAGTATTGTTACCTCTTATTTGTACATGGTCATGCAGGATCAGAGAGGTAGAGTTACTTGCCCAAGGTCACACAGCCAAAAGAAACTCACTTCCCCAGTCAGACACCTAGGGATGTTTTGCCCGTGTGATAGAGTAACAAGGACGTGGGCTTTGGAATCAGGAAAGGATAGGGCGCAACCCCTGGTGGACTGTGGAACTTGGGCATGTTATTTCCTCTCTCCCAACCCAGGTTTGCTGTGCAGGGTTAGACCAGACCACACAGCAGGCACAGGGGCCAGGAGAGCATCCGTGGTGCTCTGAACCTCCATGAGGTGCCCGGCACACTGTTGGTGCTCCGAGAGGGGCATTGTGGATGCTCCTCGTGGGGACCCTCCGGAGCCCAGAGAGCCACCCCACTYGGTCTCCTCACCTTTATTGTACAGGGACCCGTCAAAGTAGTAGCTGCCGGTGTAGAAGCCGGTGGCCAGCTCGATGAGGTGCCGGGCCCACGTGTTGCCGGCCCCAGGGAAGCTGGCCAGAGCGATCAGCTGCTTGGACCTGGCCGGGAGGAACCTTCTGTCCATGCAGCGGTTGTCTGCAAAGAGTTGGGCACAGACAAGGGTCAGCGCCTGGGCAGGTCGGGCCTGTCCCAGGGAGACCAGGGTGTGAGTCTCAGCCCCCCACTCCCACCCCACCCCCCACTCCCACCCCACCCCCCACTTCTCAGCTCAGACTTTCATGGGCCTCGGTTTCCCCATCTGTAAAACAGGGCCACGGCTCTTCCCCAGGATCCAGGCGAGGGTTAAGTGAGATAGTGCAAGAAAAGGGACAAGCAGGTGCTCAGCACATAGTAGGGATCCAGGAAAGCYGCTGGGTGGGTGGAGCCTCTGCGCCCTGCGGTTCCCCCAGCAGAGCGAGTCCTTGGCCTTCTCCCCCAGCCTTTCCCCCAGCGGCCCCATCTACACGGGATCCAGCCCAAAGTTGTCACCTTGACCTCCAGGACCTGAGTGGCAGGCCCGGCCCCACCCAGGCCCCTCCTGCCCCGCGGCCTGGGGGGACTCTGCCGGTCCCGCTGCCTCCTGCCTGCTTGGTCCTTGGCTGTCACAGGACCTGGGACTTCGGTCCCCCCTCCACTGACTCCAGAAGCTATTGTCACTGCAGCTTCAGGTCTGTCTCCTGCACGTTGCTGGTCTCAACAGTGATCCCGGGACACAGTCACAGTGGCTCAACCAAAGCGACGCCCCATCGTGGGTGATTTTATTCTGGTGCGAACATCGGCACGGACATAGACCCACCGAGCCCGCCCCGCGCCTGGCTCTGGGGCGCAGCCTGGTGTCCCGGGCTGCAGACCCCGGCGGCGGCAGGTGACTGTCCTGAACACAGTGGGCAACTGTCACCCATCATGAGCATTTGTGCATTAGGGCCTGTCGCCCACGGAGAAGGCACAGGACGAAACTCCTAGGCCACAGGACCTTGTCACCTCCCCTGCAACCCGAGGGGACCACGGTTTCATACCGGGACTGTCAGAAACCCTCCCCGTAGATGACCTGTGACTCCCCACGACCTTGGCAGATGCTCCCGTGGGCGGATGAAGGGGCTGGTGGACGGGTGGACTGGAGGGAAGAGGGACGGGCCTGCGGATGGGGACCATGGCTCCCTGCAGGGTTTCCCGGGGGTTAAATGAGATGATGCAGGGAATCTGTCCCTGCGCCAAAGGGCTCCAACGGGGCTGCTCTTTCTTCTCAGCCCTCAGTCCTCGCATCTGCAGGATGGGTTGGCCGAGTGCCCTTCCGATGTCCCCCACCCTCTGGCCTCCCTCCGGGGGCCACTCCCCGCAGAGCTCATGGAAAACGGGCCGGGACCTCCCACCGCAGCCCTGAGGGCGCAGGTCCCCTCTGCTCTCTGGTACTTCACCCCAAGATTTCCCCTGGGTCCCGGCTGTCCTGTGATGGCTGCAGCTCGTTGAAGCCCCGCTGTGAGCCTTGCTGATTTAGGGCGACAGCCTTGGGCAGGGCAGACGGGTCTGAAGTCTTAGATTCCAACCCCAATTCTKCCACTGGTTTCCCGGGCGTCTGGAAGAAATGGTTCCACGGAGCCTCMGTTTCCGCAGCTGTAAAATGGACCGATGGAGGAGAGCCCTGCTGGCTCACGGCCCACGCCCTGTTAAGGGCCAGCCGTGGTGGCTCTGAGTTGCGGCTGCAGGGTAGGGGCCACCTCCGCATGGAAGCCAGGTGGTGACCTGAGAGCGGCTCTCACCGGATGCACCGCTTCAAAAAATCCCATGGAAACAGGGGGCTCTCATTAAGGCTTGCCACCGACTCCAAAATGCGTGGGGAATGAGGGGGACCCGGGAAAGGGAAGGGGAGGGCTTGATAATGAAGTCAGCCTGGCACAGGGCCAACCGGCGGGACGTCCCCGAGCACAGGCTGCTCCCCCGGGATCCTTGTTCTGTCCCCGAGGTCTGACTATTTACATAATGATGGGCGCTGGGGGCCGGAGCTGGCTCCTTCCTTTCTTCTTCAACCCTTCCTGGGAGATCAGGAACAACCCGGAGGAGGAGACTCACTCCACGCTAAAGAGGAAGCGGATGGGTTGCTCAGCCTCTGAAGCCAGGCAGGGTTTGCAGGGAACAGTGTGATTCAGCCTGAGAAGCAGACGCCCTGGGTGTCCACGGGGACCTTCAGGACACTGAACATGGCTCTTGGTCTCTCTGAGGTTAGTTTCTGCACTCATAAAGCAGCTCATARACCTCACGGGATTAAATAGGATGACGAATGTGAAAGATTCTCAATGTCTGTTGCAAAGCTGCGGTCTAGCAGTGAAGTCTTGGGACCCTGATMGCCTGGGTTTGAATCCCAACTCTGCCCTGTCTTAGCTGTGTGACTCTGACTAAGCTTCTCAACCTCTCTGTGTTATTATCTCATTTGTAAAAGGGTCATCACAGCCCTTAGGTCATTCCACCGATGGGAAGGTCAGGTAAGTGAAGGCAGGYAGAGGGTTCCCACGGTGCTGGCCACACAATCAATGTTCAATAATGATCTAGTTCTCCTCAGGAGCATCAGAGCTGAGCATGCGCAGGTGYGTGATGCGTGGCAGGCTCTTGGCAGCCTGATGAGCCACTGAGGCTCAGACCTTCCCAGTGCAAGGGAACTGCCAGGCTGACAGGGAACAACTGAGAAGCAGCGATGGCCTGGGGGCAGGACACTGGGAATGAGCAAGCTCATCAATTAGAGACTCTGTTGTTGAAAAGACTCCAGCATCTATTTCAGCCACATCAAAGCGGTTCATGGTCACAGCACAATTAATCTGTGCAGGATCCTCTCCTCTGGCCACAGAGATGCAGCTCCCAGACCAAGCAACACCCCCGCCACAAACACGCTCCTCCTTCCCCCGTGGAATGTACACAGCCCAGGGCCACGCTGGCTCACGGCTGTCCCCAGGACTTCAGCCACCACGGATCAGCCAGTTGGCCACTGCTGGTGCCCTCAGCCAAACAGGAGGCAACCCCTRGAGTACTTCTGTGCAAATCAGAAAAAGGTCAGTGTCCCTGTGCTGTTGGGCTGATGTKCTGCCATCTAGGACGTGCAGCACAYAGGCCACCAGGGCAGGCTCTTGGGCACTGTTTTTCTCATAGGCCGCGCTTGTGCAGTACCCAACCTGCCCATCCACACATGGCAACCTGGYTACTGGGAGGGGATCAGGAGGAGGTGTTTTATTGACTCTCCACRTTTCAGAGGGGGTGGGGAGTGTTCTTCATACCCTGGGTAGAAGTTTCTAGCAAGAGCTCTGGAGGCCTGAAAGCAAATTGATGCATCATTGTGGCCAGTTCCCAACCCATCTGGGTCTCAGTCTCTCATCTGTAAAACTGCCCTGGCCGTTGGTGTGCTGGTGACGTCTGTCACTGAGTGAGAGAAGGCTCCCCTGAGGCCAGGGCATGGCCAATGGACAGGCGAGTCTCAGGGGCTTCCTTGGGACTCCAGCAAGGGATGCCCCTGTGAGCCACGTGCTGTTTGTGATGCCCCGGGAGAGAGGGTCATCAATAGTGTGACTTCAGGCAAATCCCTCAACCCRGGCCTCAGTTTCCCTCCCTGAAAGAGGGCACAAGACTGTCCCCACCACTGAGAACAGCTGAGAAGATCCAGGAAAAAGTGCACATGAAGCATCTGTGCCGAATTTGGCACAGAGTAGAACTCAAGGTCTCCCCAGTGCTGCTGCTCACCACCACCATCACCA